TACAGGAGTTTAGATTCAGAACTGCAGGAGATGACTGCACTTCTTGGCACTGCTTTTTCACACGGCTGGGCTTCAGTGCTGACAGGGCCTGTCAGCCAAAACTTAAACCCCTTCCCCTTACGAAATATATTTTTTCCCCAAAACAAGAGGCAGCCGCACAGCCAGCAAGGATGAAGACGTGCCAGGAGGCCTCCAACTTAGCTCAGCTGGCTCCTGTGTGGGCCAAATCACACCATTTACCAAGGGAATGGTCCTCCATGAGGAGACAGTTGCCTGGGTTTTGGTTTCCTATTGTCAGCATTCATCCGGGACTATAAAATTTAAGGGGAGAAGAGCAGAAAGAACAGGAGGAGGTTTTATTTAGGCTGACAAGAGTGAAACCGCTAACTTTGAACACAGAGGAAAATAAACCTCACTCTTGACAAGTTTACCACATAAGGTTGAAGACTTCAGCAGGAACAGATAAACGATTTTCAAATCCATCATGAAACTGCTATGCAAGACTGAAGGACTCAAAGGGCCAGATGCAACTAATCAGAGAGGTTCCAAACCACTTACTATGGATTCAGCTCTCAGGTTCCTTAGAAGAAATCCAAGGATGCTTAGATCTTGGGTTTTGGTCTAGCTCATTATTATGGAAGCAGACAGCTATAAAAGCCACATCTGGACCTGATCTGCTCCAAGTGTTTGTATATAGAGTTCTGGCTCATCTCTTCCTTCTCTACTGATAACAGCTGTGCACTTCAGCTATGGCTCCCACAGAATACAGGCAGAGATTAAAATAGAGGAGAGGGAGAAAAGGGGCCAGCCTCTCCTCACAAGGCTTTTTAAGTGTTGTCCTTCAGGACAGAGCTGAGGCTAAAGATTCCTTAGGAGATTTTGGGCTGGAAAGATGACCATGATAAAAATTCCTCTTACTTACTTTCACAGCATTTATCATAATCTGCCAGGTGACCATCATCTGCTCCTAGCTACTGAAAAGAAATCTCCCAATAACATTCCTATTAATAAATGGGGCTGTAGACAAGCTTGCCAATATTAGAAATGACACACTCCTTGAGTCATAACATACCAGCTACCCTGTAGCAATGAAGTAGCTTTCTTACAGGCACTCAGTGATAATCAAAGGCCTACCCCGTTCAGGCTAGTAAATCCCTTGCTGTACAGTGGGTAGGAATCTTAGGTATCCAGGACTGCAGCAGTAACAAACATCTTGCAAACACCTAGGGCACTTGTACACGTAACACCGTTAACATGTACACATGATGAAAATGTCACTTGTATGGCTCAGGATCAGCCCCTCGCCACTTCAGCCTTCAGCAGGTGTCTGCTGAAGGCAGAAGTGGTGCGGGGCCCAATCCTTGTTTTCTTTTTGGTGGACCCTGCCCACCTCTCCTGCGGGCAGGGTGTGAGCTGCTAGTGGGCCAAGCAGCTCCTGAGCTGCAGAAGGCCCTGGTCCTTCCTTCTGCAGTGGTGGCACCCCCCAGGACTGCCCAGGTGGGCTGCTAGCAGGCTGCATGTTGCACCAGCTCAGGGTTGGGGAAGAGTTGAATTGGACTGGGTGCTGCATCTGAGCAGTGCATTGGAGCACACTCAGTTAATTACCGTGCTTCAACAACCTCCTGCATCTTGTGCAGGGGTGGGCAAAATACGGCCCACCAGGCTATTCTATCTGGCCCATGGGAACCCTAAAAAATTTAGAAAATTTCTATTTATTTGCTCCTGGCTGCCTGTTAAAAATGACAGGGGCAGTAGGACCCAGGGAGAGCCAGCAGGAGCCAGCAACAAGGCCAGCCCAGCCCCGCATAACCCCCCACACCCTACATATCCACACACAAAAAAAATTTTTTTTTAAAAATCAAATTAATGAATGTTCTAGATGTTCAATTTTTAGAATATAATTTGGTATTTTTCTGGTTCCAAGATGGCAAAACCCCTTGCTGAAAGGAGTATTTCCAGGGCCAAGGGGAGGGACCTCTGGTCATAATATGGGGACCAGAGGGTGATGCACCCATCAAGGGGCAGGGCTACCAATGCAGCCCTTGACATCTTGCCAAAACTCAGTAAGTGGCCCTCTGCCTGAAATAATTGCCCACCCCATGTCTTGTATATCAGCATCCCCACACTTAAAAATAGCAATGGGGGCACTTGAACTAAAGCTCATCAAACAAGCTTTAGTTCAAGTGCTCCTGCTGTCATTTTTAAGCACAGGAATGCTAATACACAAGGCGCAGCAGCACTTTAATTAGAGCGGCTCTCAGAGAGCCGCTCTAATTAAAGCGCTGCCCACCCTCCATCCCTGGAGCACATGTAAAAGTGCCCAAGGTGACCATATGTCCCATTTTAGCCAAAACTGTCCTAGATTTCAGAGGCTGGCCCCAGGCACTTGTTGGGAATTATAATGGGCATCCTGGAAATGCAGGGATGTGGGGCACAGTCTGGTCAGGAGTTGAAGCAATGAGGAGCACCTTGCAGGTTGGCAAGAAGGCACTGCTCCTTGCCTAGCATGCAGCCTTGCCCCTGCCAACTCACAAAATTTCAGGCAGGGAGGGACAGTGTCCCAGATTTCCCAGATGATGTCCTGGATTTCTGGGATTTCCATACGGTCAGCCTGCATAAACTGCACAAGGCACCAGGAAAAAAATCTTAGGAGAAATACTCCCGGATCAGTGAAGGGGCTGTATCAGCTGATAGGTACATTAGACAGATGCACAGACCAGGAGATCTCTTCACAGCTCTATTCTCTAGGAATCCCATATTCACAAATGTATGCAAATGTGTGCTAACAGCTACTTTCTCTGCATATGCTGGCACCAGTGATTCTTCACTGAAGTTATTACCACATACAAGCACTTTGAGATGCATCTAGCATGAAACAAATTATGTAAAACCTAATTCTACACAAAAAAAAAGATTACAGAAGTGATTTAAAAAAAAGTCACTTAGTAAAGCTAATGGCGTGAGCCAGCAAGCAGCATGTTTAAAATGACAGCTCACTAATCTGCTCTGAGCTAAGAAGTCTCTGGTTGAGGACTTGCACAGAGGGCTGCTATGCTGGTCTATGCCCTTTCTGGTATCCAAGCAACAGTGAAGCTTGTCAGCACACAGAAGTTATTATAACCAGTATCTTATTTCCACAGACAGAGAAGTGAACTGGAGGGCAACACAAAAAATTCAGGGATGCGTAGTTCAGACGCATTTGAAAACATCATCTTGACATTCAGAGGAGGGGGGAAAAAGCAGTGTCTCTTCTCTTATCCACTAACAGCCTGACCTTGGAAACAAACAGAGAGGCCCACACTTGTTGCTGTCTGCTTAGAGAGGTTGATGCTGGGGGCAAAAATCCAAAATCAGGAGACATCAGGGGCCTGGTCCAAAGCCCACTATAGTCCACAGAAATACCCGCACTGACTAATGGATTTTGAATCAGATCCCACATGCCTGTCACAGATAAACCTCCCGCACACTATATCATCTCTCTCTTCTTTTTTGGTGCACTTCAGGGAAGCATTTTTAAGGAGCCAGAATAGTATTAAATCCGATTCTCCGTTTGTTCTACCCACCAGAATATGAGATACTGTGAGAAGAACAGAACTTTGTGTTTTTTTGTCCCATAAATGGATAACTGAAATAAAATCCCCTGCTTGCAGCCCAGCTAAAAGGCTGTTTATGTTCAAGAGCAGAGAATCCATCCAGAGGGAGATGACAAAACTCTGCAGACCTGATCCTGTACTATCAGTACTCCGCTCAAGGTAGCAGAGACATGGCAGTGTAAATAAGCTGACATAAATAAAATCAGAATTAGGCCCAATCCCTCCTTTCCTATCTTGATTTTCTGTTTAGATCCTTTTATCCAAGCACAAGTGTATTATAGCTTTGAAAGATTGCATGGGTGCCCAGATCCACTCTCCCAACAGTTGCAATCACACTGTTTTTTGCTGGCTCAACAGGCAAAGGCAGATTCTTTTCAGACAAAGTATCTGGATCTCAAAAGAAATCATTGCAAGTGAGGATTGTATTTTAAAGATTTGAGGCCAAATTCTCTTCTCAGTTTCCAGGGGGCTGTCTGCATGTAACTGGGAGGACAGCCTGGCTCTCACTTGCAGAGCTAGCCAGCTGGAGTATTAGTGCCTTTTTTTATTTTTTTTTAGTGGGGATGGCTGATAGCAAGGGGAAGGTTTGGTTACTCATCCTTCCCAAGCCCATTCAATCATGTTCCTTGAGAAAACAAAAGATCTTACCTCACCTTTTTACACTGAGGGCCCTCAATACTCTGCCACGCACTTTCCATGCAATGACGATGGGCCAGGCAAATGCAGATGGAAGGTGGCAGCTCACAGAGTCCTCCCTTGCTTGTACTGTTACAGTAACTTGGGATAAATCAGGATGACTTGCTGGTGGCAAAACAAGAGTACTAGGAAGAGACCCTCAGCAGAATATCTTTGGGCTATTGGGGTTTGAAAAAGAACCAGAACATCACTTTAAGGTAATTTAAATGCATCAGTATAGTACGTACACACCAAGTTCTGCACACAGTGCAACTGCAGCTCAAAAGAGGCAAAAGATACCAAGACTCAGCTACTACAGTAATGGACAAACATGAAAGAAACCTCAATAGAGCAGAACTGAATTTCCAACTCTTAACAGGCTCACATGTAACAATTCACCCAGGGTAGCTGTGGGATGGAGCAGTAGCAGAACCAGTTTTTTATCTAGGCTTTCAGGTGGTGTAAGTCACCCTAGTAGTCAGTGGAGATGACTGTGCTGATTTATACCAGCTGAAGGTCCTTTATCACACAAAGCAAGTAGGCAGATATTCAAATCCTTGTTGAGAAGGTGATCTGATTCAACGATTTATTGATCAATACCAGATGTGTTGCAAACCCCTTCAACTCACCTTCAGCTGGCACTGGCAAGTTGCATCCATGAAGTGCACACATAGTCAGTAGGGTTTTTTAAGAGCCTATCTCCAAGGGAACAACCTGCACAGTAAAGGATACATCCCCAGGATAACTGCTTCAAGGCATTTGATAGGTAATGATTCCCTGGTCATTTCTTTCGCTGTCTCCATTAACCTAAAATAGAAACAAAGATATCTTCAGCCCTTTTGGTCAAAGCAGGCAACAAGAATTAAAGGATATCTTCTTACTTGACTAAGGACCAAACCCCTCTTGCGTCTTACTCGTTCATACATTAAGAGTAGGCCTGATTTCCCCCTAACCACCTAGTATAATCCAACTGATTCATTTAGAGATAGAACTGATTTATAGCAATGTGGGACACAAAACAAGGCTTTGTTTCAGGGAGCTGGGACAGGATTGCAGCCAATGTCTTAGAGAAACCAGCTGTCTCGAAGCATTACCTCCCAGATAATGTTTCCTTACTGGGGACCAAATCCAGATCTTCTTCCATATGTTCATTCGTACCATCCACCAGTTGGAACCAATGAGACTACTCAGGGAGAAAGGCAGTCTTCAATGTGAGGAATTACACTCCAATTCTACCACTGGGAACTCAGCTCACTGGGAAGGACTTTTATGCTATCTGCTTACACTGTATATAGAGCTCCTAGGCATTCCCATAACAGAAACACACTGATAACATGCATTATTTTTCTACAGCGCCAAAAATATGCACGGCATTTTGACTGGAAGCCAACTTAGTTTTTGCTTAGTATGAACAAGGCAACAATTCTGCTTTGCTGGTATGTTTTCAACATAGATGTTAGACAGAGTCAGCCACCACAGGAGAACCAAAGTTCAAGAGCTGCTTTCCAGCACAGTCACAACCATGAAGATTAAAAATCTCCTCCTGTGGTCTTCAGCTCACAGGGCGTGCCCAGATGAGCATGCATGTGCAGTTTGCAGTCCTTCAAAGCTGTCTGAGGCACCATAAACCGCATGCGGCGCACGCGCAAGCATTTGCCACATTGTTAATTTGCAGCGTGGTGCCAAAATTTGACATTAGGAGATCCCCATGTCAAAAAAAGCCATGGGAAAAAAAGCAGTGTGGCGCACGCAGCAGCAGCATATGCCACCAGTACCTGAGCCTGGCCATCCAGAGCCGTGCTCTGGCTGCTGGCCAGGCTCTGTGAGGTCAGATCAGTGCTGCCACTGCCCCAGAAGGCCCCCAGAGCACGATTTATTGATCAATACCAGATGTGTTGCAAACCCCTTCAACTCACCTTCAGCTGGCACTGGCAAGTTGCATCCATGAAGTGCATCCAGAGCCCTAGGTAAGGCTGCTGGAACCAGCACAAGTACTGGCCCCAGCCTCCCTTTCCCCACCCAGGACAAGCTGCTTTGCTCAAACCCACACGCGGGGGCATACGCAGTGGAAAAAAGCAGCAGCACAAATTTGTGCCGCTGCTATTTTTGCCGCAGCAACTGCACACCCCTGCCTGCACACCCATGGTGTTCATACCGTTTCCTATTTAGAAAGTGAGATTCCCACATAGAAATAGTAAAAGAATAACACAAAGATGCACCAAGCCTCGTGGTGACAAGATCAGGCACATATAACCCCTGACCACCACCACACACACTCAGCATGTGCATGGTTCAGTGGCTCAGAGCCTCTCCTGGCCAGGGAGCTGGGCGATTGGGACAGCCCTGCATCTCTCCCCCAAGCCCTCACAGTGCAGCCATGTGCAGGGAGCCCCAGTGGAGCTAGGCTGCTTGCCCTCCTATGCAGGTTCCCCATGCACTGCTTTTACCACCTCTGACTCCCTCTGTGCCAGCACTAGCCAATGAAACTCAAACTTCAAACATTTGTGACTAGAGACTTAGCCAGGAAGTATCCCTTACAACTAGAAATAATGGGATGAGCTATGGGATCCTCACACTCAAGTACTGAGATTTTCAAAACTGTCTAACAGGACTGGACACAATTTCCATGAGAAATTAATGGGAACTGGGCAACCCAATCCTTTTGCAACTCTGAAGACACCCTGGCAATATATATCTATTTCTCCATCTCCTCTTCACTAACCTGCTCCCCTTCTGGGGACTGCATGAGCACTGTTTAAGGGTGCACAGACACGTTGCAAAGCACTAGTTCTGCAAGAACCTGCAGTGGGAGTGCACAGCCTTCATTCCAAAGATAGCAGCTTTTTAAATGCCCCCAGCCCTCTGTTTAAATGAAGGTTAAGTGCTTGATATGTCTTCCTGTGATGGGGCGGATGGGATGGGTTTGCAGCACTTTTAAAGAGATAACCAGGGACAATCTGATCTCAGTGCAGCTAAGAAAGGGCTATTGTACTGGAGAACAGGCCCAATGCTATCATTCAGTAAGTTAGTTCTTTTTTGGATACCCTGGAAAGATGGAGAGAGAAATAGAGCATGGAAGGGGACAGGAAGAGATCCAGGAAAGAGATAAGAGAAAGAAGAAAGTTGTGCTCATTAGAAACTGAAAAGTTTAAATACACACACCCCATGAACAGGAGGGAAGTTGTATTTTGAAACTTTTTTTCTCTAATCCTAGCCCTTCCCCCAATCCACCCCACACCAGAGAGGCCAATGAAAATATTCATATGCCAAACCACCACACTCCTATTTCTGATATCTTACAGCTTAACCCATTTTAGAGCCTGTGTTCTAAGCAGGAATTCAGTAACAATGGCATCATGGGCTTCCTGTTAGTTGTGCTAATTAATCCATATCCAGTTTATGAGGGAAAAGATGAATTTTGAATGACAGTCCACCGATGGCCCACTGAATGCAAACTCCACCAACAAATGTGAAGGGTCAAGCTGGATTCTATTCAGCACACAGAGACTCTCCACCAGTAACGCAGATGGTACCGGGGCACTCAACAGTTCTGATGTTGGGGCAGAACACAATACGATTCGTCTGGCTCCACAGTACTAGTCAGAATAACCAACGGCTCCACAGTGTTAGCCAGAGAAACAAGGAAAGGAAGTCCTGTGGACTCCATGACTATTCACAGCAAAATCTAATGGAGAGAAGGTGCCATTCTTTCAGCACCAGCCCCATCCTGATGGGCCTCAAATATGCCCTACAACACTACTGAGCCAGGGCTTACATGCTTCTATAGGAAGAAACACAATAGCTTTGAATTCTGGGCATGAGTTGTAACAGAGACTCATCTCTTTTGTTCTGCCCTACATTAAGCAAATTTAGACAATACAGACACCCTATACAAGTGGTTGCCAACTGGGGCTTTGCGTACCCCTAGGGGTACTTAAAAAGGTCATGGGGTACACAGAACTGATGTGGCCAACAATGTGGCCGATAAATGCTGTATGCGTGCGCACAGCTAAAGCGCAGCACACAGGTAGCCAGGAGTGCAGCCCGGCAGCATGGAGAGCAGCCGGGTCCAGCTGGTAAGTCTGTTGTGAGGGAAGAGGGCAGACAGAGGCCCCAGCGGTGGGGGAGGGAGTGGGGCTGGGTCAGAGGTAGGGGCTGCCCAGCTGGGGTAGGGCACAGGACTGAGCTGTGCGCGGGGGGGTCAGCTCCCGCCATTGCACACATCTCAGAAGGGCATGGGGGGAACGTGTGCTCCTGAATCTGTGCGTGGGGTGAAGGCAGGCTGCCACTGCAGGCTGGAGCCAGGGCAGCACTGGGTTGTTTCTGGCAGGGGGGTTGTGCCAGGCTGTGCTGGGGGGGCGGTGGTGGCGCTGGGAGGGGGATTTCAGTCCTCCTCCCAGCTGCAGCCCCTACTGTAGCCCCCCTCCCAGCACTGCCACTGCCTGCCCCAGCACAGCACAGCACAGCACAGCCCCAGCCGGGAAGAGCCCAGTGCAGCCCCGGCCCAAGCCCACAGCAGCAGCCCGCCCCACCCCACGCACAGATCCGGGGGCACAGGCCCTGCCATGCCTTTGTGGGATGCGTGCAATGGTGGGAGCAGCCCCTCCCCCCCAGGCAAGCCACTCACGGCTCCTTCCCACGCTCCCCCTGGCTGTGTAATGCCTGCGTCTGCCCCAGCCCCACTCCCTCCCCCATGGCAGGGGCCTCAATCTGCCCCCCTCTGCCCCACCCCTTAAAAACAAGAAAAAAAAATATAAAGGGGTACATGAGCTGAAACTTTGAGACAGAAGGAGTACACTTGTTTAAAAAGGTTGAAAACCCCTGGCCTATGCCCATGACAGGGGGAGCCCCTATCACAATGCCCTGCCCATGAACACCAAATACCAAAAAAGTGCCTTGTCCCCACTGTTTGACACATGCCCAGGACATACCTACTGCCCCCCTTAGGCCTCCCAGGCATGGCTGCTGATGTGCTAAACAGCTCTCCAAAAGCAGCCACATCACTGCTTTAGCATTTGGCATACATGGAACAGAAGTGAGCAGGCGGGGTCTTCTTTCATGGTGCCACTCCCTAGCACAAGTGGAGGCATTATCAGATTATATATACGTGCCATTATAGTTTAGAAACAGATAGGAGTTGCATAGGAGTCAGACAAGATGATACACACATTATGAGCCCAGTGTCTCCACTGGCTACTGCACTGCATCCCTTATTGCTTACTTTTAAAATATTGCCTACTTTTAAAAATTCAGTCTCATCATTAATTCCAAATGCAAGGCAGCATGGGTCCAATATTAATGCTTCCGTAGCTGGGGAACCGTTGCAAATTAATTGATACAAATGAGCAGCCAAATTAGTAGAAACTGATCTGTCACAGCAATATTCATATTGTTTAAATACCAAGTTGTATTTAGTGTGTGCTCTGTTTACAATGTATGAACTCGTTTGTCTCAAATCATAGTTCTCCAAGACATGGAAAAGCCAGTAAGAGCTATTTAAATTCAATCTGTGGGGCAATCAATGGGCTTATTACACAATGAACTTGTGGTCTGCCTCTCACAGTCTTGGTCTTCTGCATTGGCATCAGAATCATGGAATTACAATAGTCTCTCACAGTAGAGGGCAGAATGGGATTTTAGAGCATTTCACTCTCACCAGTATGAAACTAAGCTAGGACACTAAGTACTAGTTACCATTAAATCACTGTTCAGTTATATATATGGAGTGAGTTAGCTACTTGGTCCAGTTCACACTGACACATTTCTAGATTAAATCACCACTGCTTGCAGTTTCATCAGTAAGGCCA